AATGTAATCGTCAACATCTGCAAATGCATGGATGAAGAGCAGACATAGCCACTTTGCCAGTGACGAAATGGAATGTCTATCGCCGTGTACTACCACCATCATTTGCTTCTTTTACTCTTGCCACGCCTTCAAAGTTCCCCCCACTCCAAAATCCATTTTTCCAATAGCAAAATAACACTCTAAGATTGTCAGGAATTGGAAGGAAAGAATCGGATTGAAGGCGTGATTAATCACTCTCCTTAAAGTGTTATTTGCCCCCACTACAAATTGCTGGTAGGCTTGAGCAAACCACCCCCAAGAGTCCCTTCAATTTTAAGTCTGGAAGCAGCAATCTTGCAGACTTCTGTGTTTATGAAATAGAGAAGGAAAACGGGAAGAAGAAGTAATCTCTCATCATTAAAAGAGTTATGACAATCATCTAGTTGTGAAAACTGGAAGTTACCTTCCGAAGAGTCACATCCCTTCATAGAAAAGGTAGTTACCTTTATGAAAGGACATATCCTTTCACAAAAAAAAAGGGAGTTATCTTTATGGAAGGACACTTCTTTTCACAATATTCAAACGTTAATTAATTAATATAAAATTAATTAATTAATTAAATTGCCAAAAAACTCCATCTTTATAATTTACTTCTCCCATCAATGTCGTATTACAACTCTATTGACTAACTCTAACACAAGAATTAATAATTATACAAATTACACGAGGAAATTTCAAAATATAGCCCGTGTTTTCAACGCAGATATAGTCTAGTATGGTGATGAATATTGTACTACAAAAAATCTCGGTTACAAGTCGGGATGGGATTAGGTGCTAACCCTTATAGGGGTTAGCACCGTGATAACTAGCAAAAATCACTACGGATTATTATAAAATCAATACAACATCTAAGCTAAATCACTACTAATTCAAACTAGTAGTAATTTTTCCATTGGTTAGAACGATGCTAACTATTGTACAATTAGCACCGTAGCCGTTCCCTTACAAGTCTCGTAACGTGGAACATTCCTCAGATTGCGCTATTTTTTTGTTGAGGCACTCGTAAAAAAAGAAATACAACTAATATTGTATACTTGGAGTTTTGGGTGGGCAGTTAGTGAATTGCATATGGAAGCTTTTTTAGGTTGGAGACGAACTTCTCTCAACCATTATTGTATTGTTCACTTGTGATTTTTGTTATTAATTTCATATACATTTAAAATGGGATTAAGAACCTCGCTCGATCTGCATTTCTCGATTCAATTCAAATAACACGTTTCTTCGATGATATCTTATGGGTCTTGATCTTTTCGTTGGTTTATTATATCTATCTATAACATACAAAAGCTATATACGCGTATTGAGAATCAAAATGAGATTTTTTTTAGTTCCATAGCTTTTACTGCATTTTCTACCGGGAAAAAAACTCTATGGCTTCTCATACTATATATATATATATCATGTTCATTATTCCAAAAGTCTGTGAGTTGCTCCATAGGGCGTAGGGATGACAATCAAACCCATGGCCGCGGGTATCCGACCGCCCCCGACCCAGTCAACGTGGGTAATCCCCGCATTGACCGGGTATGGGTAAAACCCACAAAAAGTTTGATGGGTATGGGGCGGGTATGAGTTTAGCCTCCCCCGACCCATACCCATACCCGCCCCACCAAAAACATTTCTTCGCATATAAAATGTACATTAATTAAATTGTAATCTATCATTAATAGCAAGGGTAACTTATGAAAATAAATAGTAGAAATACAATTGAGTGACCACCCAAATCAAAACATAATTCATTTCCTCCAAATCTTCCTTCATTCTTTGACTTTTTCCCTCATGTTTACAACATTATGTTAGTAAGTTATTTATTACTTAATAGATGTACCAAAGTCAGAGAATAATGATTTGGCTTATATTGTTACTCTATCTTATGGATTATTGGATGTTTTAGAATAAGGTGCTTAGAATAGTATTAAGAATGATTGTTTCTTTGTCCACTTTATGAAATAGTAGGTGCGTTTAGTATTATAATTGAAATTTTTGTATGTAAAATTTTAGCTATTATAATGTAGGATGTACGGGGGCGGCCGGGCGGGTATTACCCAAAACCCACGGGTATGGGGATGGGTTAGCAAATCCTTCCCCCACATGGGTATGGGACGGGCATGGATTTGGATATTTGAAAGCGGGGATGGGGATGGTTTAGGCAAACCCGCCCCAAACCCGCCCCATTGCCATCCCTAATAGGGCGCCATTGATGGGGCTAAATTTTTTGGTGAGAAGAAGGGCCGACGATGGTCCGTTTACCTTCCTTGCCCCTTTGGGAGAAAGAAAGAGAAGCAGCTAAGGAAGCACGTGAAAGTCATGTGCTTAGGTAGACGCATAATCTTGTGTTTGGTATGAAGATGTGCTTAGCTATCTCACTGTGAAATCAAACCCATCAAACACGAAATCCATCAAAGAAAACAGACTGTTACTAGTAATCTAGTATTAGTGGTAGAGACTAGAGAGAGAGAGAGAGTCCACTCCTTCCTTCCTATTTCCTAATTTCCTATTCCTAGGGTTACAGAATACAAATAAAATCCTGACGTAACGTACCTACCCTTACCCTCTTCCCACCCCCACCTTTGGGGTTGGGCCAGCCATTCTTCCTCTCTCCATGCCCGTGTGGGCCCCCAGCCCATACTCGCTGGCCCACTGTTTTGGATAGCCTCTCCCCGTACCAAACCAGACCTGAACCTCTTTTGTAAACCCAGTGACCAAACTTGCAATTAACCCTCACTATTAATAATAATAATAATATTATTACAAGGAAGTAAATTCTGGATATTGTTGTTGCTGTGGGGGATCCGTATCCAAATAAAATTCCAGACCAAATCAGCACACGGAGAAGGGAAATAGATTGGATTACTGGATTAGGATTGCCTCCCTCCGATCTACACCCAAAAACCACCTGCACCTCACAGGTTTAGCTTCTGCAATTCTCCATCTGACATACCACAGCCAGAGGAGAGTACTACAGTTTGTTTTGATGAAAATCTACGATTCCAGCCAAAGCTCAACAAAACAAGGGTGGGTTTCGGTGGCAAGAGTTAAAAGTGATTCTGTACGAGCTACAAACTCTTTCTCTTGTTGGAAATGTATATGAATAGTTTTGAAAGCTATAGAATCTCAAGTGGAAAAACTATCACATTGGTAGTTTTACTTGGTGAAATGGGTCCTACAAATAGAGCGACCTAATCCGCGACTCAGCTCCAGATTCGGTAACCTCGTTCTTCTTGTTGCTCTGTTCCTAACATCTCTCTCTCAAGGATATGACCAAGGCTATTAGCGCTTTTGCTCCAAAGATGTACGTACAATTCGATCCTACAAAGTTGCTATCATTTTTTAAAGTTTAGTTTCTTCTCACTCTAAATCGTAACTTCCTCGAGTTTAAGCTCTAGCTAGTATTGAACAAGGTAGAAATGAATCGTACGTTCTCAAATCTACTCTCTAATGTAGTTGAATGAAACATCACACGCATATATGATACTGATACATCAACAGAAGAATTCTGGTAGGAAAAGGAAGAAGAAGATGATGATGAGGAGAGGAGAGGAGAGGAGAGGACCCACGTTTTCATTAATGCTTTCAAGGAGGAGAGTTAGGAGGCAGGAGACACATTACCACCGCACTGGGACACATTAAAGCTCAGAACCAACCATCCCTAGCCTGCCCACAAGAATTAGGAAGGAAGAATGGGCGAAAAAGAAAAAGGAACCCACCTACCCAACCCAACCCACCTAATTTACCGATCGAGTCGGAGTGCACCTATACCTATACCAAACTCAAGGGCTGTCCCCAAATGGCTCAGAAAACTGGCCATTATTAAATCGTCCTAACTAATTCCAGGTAAGCAAGGTAACTGCCCACCCTGCACTTTAAATGAAAACTGATGGTAAGATTTTGAAAGCTGAGGGCGACTCCAAACCGGATTCCCCTACCTACCTTACCATACCATACCATACCATGCATCGTGTGCTAGGGAGGGAGCATAGTGTCATTAGTCACTGTCCGATTAGATTACCATCACACAAACTAGGATGAGTATATACTCTGTATAGTTTGCAAAAATATAGTACGCGTAAATACGGAAAACATTGTCCGGTTATCATCATTGTAATATAACATTATGTATTGTTTTGGTATCAATTATAATATATTTGAAATTTTCTAATTTAAACGCGATGAATATAAATATAAAAAAAGGGTTATAGGTATAATATGCCCCTCTATTATGACGTTTTATCAAACATGCCCCTCTACTATTTTTTTTGCATCAAACATGCCCCTGTAATTTGGAAAAACTATCAAACATGCCCTATAGTTGAAATTTCCATTGAAAAAAATCGTCAATCATGGTTGAACCGAGATTTAGACGACCTGACATCGATAAATGGGAGGGAAAATGTCAGTTTTGACCCTTGCTTTATTTCTCTAGGTCTCATCAAAGTGAAATTATTATAATTATTTGGCTATACAAAAGACAAAAAAAACTCTAAAGTGAAATGATTAGATATATTTTAGATATTTGGGTCGCCCAAACCAAAGTTCGGTCTTGGTTAACGGTTTTTGGATGGAAATTTTAGCAAAAGGGCATGTTTGATAAGTTTTTCAAAGTACAAGGGCATGTTTGACGTAAAAAATAGTAGAGGGGCATGTGTGATAAAACGTCATAGTAGAGGGCCATATTATACCTATAACCCTAAAAAAAATTATGAACTATCGTTTCAATCTCTTAGAATACGCATATTAAACATTTAACACGTATTTCTTACGCTTTTAGTATGTGAAAAATCAAACAAATGAAGAAAGAAATGATTAGACTGTACGTCTACGAGAACATGAGGTACTATAAATGCATTAATCACACTTGCGTCGTACGAGTACACTACATTGTATTAAACAAAATTTTGTTAACTATATTAATGTACACATCCAGTAGTTGAGATTATAGAGTGCACAATGGTTAGCTGCAGTACTCGAATACACTTTTATTATTTTCTTTGTTGAGAATCTGAGAAGCATTTTTACAAATATAATAATGCAAGCAAAGCATGATGAGATCACAAACGGCACCATCCGACTGCAACAGCATGCTAAACAAGGCAGGTAATGCGCGGTCCTGCAATCTACAGCCTACACAGAGACAGAGGGAGTTGCGGTTTCACCCACGCCACATGGGAATTAGGTAGTGGCATTGACAGATACACGCGCGCTCCGAGTTGTGATTCTGCTTGCCAGTTACGTTGTTCTTTCTGGTTCTGGATATTTATTTATACAAAGACAGTTGAAAACCCAAAGTGCATTGCATTCAATTCAACTTGGGGCTTGAATATGATGCTACCGGAGAGAATACGCAGTTTATTAGAGTCACATATCAGGTAAAGAAAAGTTCTAGCTGGTCGGTCGGTCGGTCGGTCTACTTATTTTATTATTATCAGCCTCTCTTGCGGACTTCGTACAGGTAGCTCAAGATCACCACTGCAGCAGCAACAACTACTCCGACGGCGCTTTGGGCCAGAACGGTGCCGTCTTTGGCCGTTGCCTTGGAAGCCGAGGAGGCTGGGGTGAAGCCCAGTTCGGAGAGTCTCTTGTGTGCCGCTGCATAGTCCTTGAAGAAAGCATCCTCGTCCTGGAAAATGATAATAGCAATTAGGAACTATATCATCCAAGCATCTAGTGTTGTTAAGATATTAAACCAGTGAGGGAGAATTCAAAAAACTGAGTTTAGCACTATATGAACCGCATGTCAAACTAATAGATCAAGGTATTTCACGGGTCAAATAAAGTAAATGATGATTGATTAAGCTTAGGGGTCATTAGATTGAATTTGGATAAAATGAATTAGATTAGTTGGATCTTTTTAGGGAATTGACGGAAAAAGTTTATGATACACTGTCAGAGCGTTCGTTCGATATGTCTGCTATTTCAGTCGCAATGTTAGTTATTTCTAATATATGTAGGTGAAAATTTTCTCTAGAAAATGGGGACTATTTTTCTGGTAATTTATAGGTATTTCCCTTGTGTCAGTGAAAAGTCCAGCAGAAAGAGAGGTACCTTTGCATAGAGCTCAACAAAGGGACGGAAAGCAGGATCATCCAACAAGGCATTGTCAGTTGGAAGTTTCAATAGTCCTTCAGTCTCACCCTTCAGCAGCTCCCTGAAATAGTCACCGTGAACTGAATTATTATCACAGGAAAGGCCCAAGTAAGATCCTAGGTTGAGAGCAATGCTAGTATACTGTCAATTCAGATCCTTACACGAAGTATGAGTTATCAAACTTCAAAGGATCCTTGGTCCAAGGGCCATCGAAGCCTGACCTCTCTGGATGTGCCCTTCCCTGCAAGGCAAATATTTTGAACTGAAAAATCAGTGTGCTCATCTACGGCAGCTACTCCTAGAGAAAAGTGAATGTTACAGGAAATTACCAGAGTATGGCCACCTGATAGTGCCACAATTTCCTTGTCAGAGAGACCCATCCTGTAGAATACATCCTTCAAATGCGGCGAGCCTAGCACAAAGTTGCACCAGAATATGTAGGATTATTCCCAAGTATTACTGCAAACATGCAAACTACAACTAAAACATGAATCACATTGTGATTTGATCATGTCAAGAGAACAAATGGGAAAAATGGTTGAAGCCACATATGATTGTATCCTTTAAAGGATGCCCTGAGCAAGCAAAGAAGGAAGGATGTCCAGTTATACGAAACAAGAGTTCCACATGGTTAAAGGAATAAATTACCAGTAATGAAGAACATCACTATGACAACTAGGAAATCATATAACAAGAAGAAACATCGCGAAGAGGACCCAAAGAGCTCTATTTCATAACTGATACTCAACTTAGTCCTCAAGATAGTGCAAGAATTGTAATGGATGAGCTTATATGACGTAGATCCTGAAGATAGTCTTGAAGCATTAAATTGAAACCTGTATGCTTCATCTAGACACGTCGGGGAAGTGAAGGATCAATAAAATCAAACCAAGGGAGGCTGATTCAAATCAACGAAGCTTTCACTGACTCGTAAAATACCAGTACGGGGTCGGGAATCTAACAAATGCTGATTTTAGAGGTTAGCTATCTACTAGGAATTCCAAAAATAACTGGTGCAATGGTCTATGTTCAATAAGATGAGTTTTTTAACAAAGATCTGGTTAAGAAAAGCCCTTCAATCATCGACTATTAATAACAACCAGTTTAGGAGAATATTAAGAAAAATCATGTGTTAGGTCGACATTTCTCCTCAAAAAGAAGTACTCATCTCAGTGGAGTGCTTATCTCAGTGGCACCTGTGCTAAACAATACCATTTACTGAATGAACCCTGATTCATGTTATCTGACTACAAATCCTCCCTATTTCACAGAGAGAATTTTACAGTTGACCATGGGTCTGAAGATGTTCTCAATTCCAATAATACTATCCAACTCTTAAAATTCGACAAAACCAGCAGATGAAATCCGGAATGCAAAAGCTAACTAACTTTGAAAGCGTTGATACCTTGTTTGGCATCCGGAAGTCGCCCTTCCTTGGGGGAAACTTTTGAATCCTGATAGAGAGAAAATCTCAGTCAGTAACTTTCGAAAGATGTAATCAACTAAATACCCAAGTCAACTAACTTGTAGTTGCACATTCACACACCTTCCTACCGGGGACAAAGTCAATGGTTGGACCTCCAGTTACCTCAACTGCAACAACACCAGCAAGCTGCATGCACAAGTACAAGTACCATAAGTAGGCAACAATCACCAATTCTAAACCTGAGCATATATCAGGTTCTCATCATCAGTGCAACCTGCATCAACAACACTCCGACGATGAGGTCATGAATCAACAATTGAACAAGAAGTGTACAAAGCACACAGTTCTAGTGAGAAATCAGTACAAGATAAGCATACAATACAATGGGTATCCAGCAACCACAAATATAATCTAGGCACGCATGTATAGTCACCAGTTTCTAAACCTCTAGGATTAACACTCGTTTATAGTGCACTATTTATTTCAAAATGTAGAATCGCAACCGCGATGGCCATCAGAAGCAAATTCGTATCAATTACTCACCTGAAACAGGTCGGCGTAAGTAATCTTCGGACGCTTGGCCTTCACTTCCTCTAACAGAGCAATAGAGAAAACATTCAATTCAACAATCCACAGAGCCACTGGAAACGAAAAACCAAGAAAAACGACGAAAAGAAACCTGACCACAGAAACTAAGGGCGATTTTCAGGCCGCTATTGGCACCGTGAGCCAACTCCTCATCGTTCCTTATGGAGCCATTCGGGCCGCCGGTCTTGGTGCTCTTATCGTACGTCCCGGCGTCGTGCCACCTGTATCACATCCGGCGATAAGAATCAGCAACCGAGCCAAAATCGAGCACGGGGGGAGGGAAGCGAGAGATACTCACGCCAGACGGAGCATTATCGGGGCGCAGTTCTTGTAGGCGATGAGAGCGCGGAGATCGCGGCGGGCCTTGTCGATCTCCTTGAGGTAATCGGCGTCAACGACTGGGAACGCCATGGCGGAAGCGTGCTGCAGGAGGAGTCGGAAGATTCAGAAGTCTCTCCCCTCTGGTGCTGTTGAGCTGAAGGTTTGTGGGCGAGAGAGAGAGTAATGGCTGAGATTGGGGGCGAGTTAAGACAGAGACGGGATGGGCCAATAGTGGCCTGGGGATTAGATTGGATAGACTCTGACCCAGTGCTACTACTGGTCTTGATGACCTCATCGCGTTTGTCATTTCTTCCTGTGTTTCCCTCGGGCCTCGGCTAAATGGGGACGAATGCGATTCGGGTTTGGATCTTGGATCAAGTTGGACATGGGGAAATGAGCCAGCCAATCCACGGAAGATAACCCATAAATTTTAAAATGACCACACTAATTATATTTATTTACTGAATTAACTTTATAATATAATATACACACCTAATCAGTTTTATTTTATGTGGAAAATTTTTAGTTTATAAAACACTATAGTCGAGAGATTAGAGAATATTCTATTCATTAAAAGTGGACACTTTTTGTAATTTTTATCTGCATGTTTTTTACTTTTGTGTGCAAGAAAATACAAAATTATATTTACGAGTAACCACACCCAACCCGAAGTGGGTAATGGTTACCCACTAACTATTGCGGTGCGTGTAGTAGGTAGCATAATTGTAAATTTCTGGGTGTGGGTACCAACAAAATGTGGGGCTGGTAACCACACCCACCCCAATTTCTACTCCTAACGACATTCATTGAGACGGCTTGAAGCCTGTCGGCTCCAAAGATTTCATTCTGAAATTGAGATTTCCAAATTTTATATAAAATCCCAAATTCTTGTATTTTGAACTAGATCCAAAATTCAAAATTTCATACTAAAATTCAAATTATTGAGAGAAGGCTAAATAAGTTTGAGCTTTCTTTGATTCACTCCATCCCACTAAATTGACAAGTAAATCCGTCTCCTTCTTTCTCTACCCCTGTCTCTCTCCATCTCATAGAGATCTTCCTTCGTCGATAGACTTTGTTGAATGAATTGAAAATATATTTCCCACCTCCGTTCTAAATCGCTAAGTGTGTTTTGATTTTCTTCTCAGTAAAATATAAATTTCAGATGGGTGAAACCCTAAATATCTTTTATTCTTTGTCGAATATGATTTCAGTCAATGCAGAATATATTATTGTATCATTCTCTGAGACTGGGCTTCGCTATGTGTAGGGCAAGAAGTTTGGTACCGGTATTTAGGATATACGGAATACCGTATCAAATTTGTCGGTATTACCGAATACACGTATTATTTTTTGGGATTGGGATTGGTATTGAATTTCAATTGTTATTCGGTATTATGAATTACGGGATTGAGATTGGGATTGAGATCAGTATATATCGAAATACCGATCAATATCGAGATATAAGATAGGATGTATTTTATCCTCTCAACTAGACTCTCTCATTCACTACTACATGACCCTCAACCACCAAGAGTGTCATTTAATTATAGATAGATCATTCCATCACTATTTCACAACTTAGAAGTCCCCATCCAACTCAAATTTGGCTTTCCAACTGAAGTCACTCTAGTCTCTCACCTAATCTCTTGTTATTTTCATAACCCCAAAAATCAAACACTAGTATTAGTCGTCTCTCAACCTCTAATTCGTCAAATTAAAGATTACTAATGACAAGAATTTGAGATGTCACATCTCCTCCATTCTCCTTATCCATATCCTAGCTCTAGGCAAACTCAAGACTATTTGCTTAGTCTCATTGCCCTAAATTAAAGAATAAAATCTAATTTATATATTTAATTATTAATTGCAAAGATAATTAATTTCGTATTCGATAATACCAATTTGGAATACCGAAGTACCGATTTGGATACCGAAATATTTAGGGATTGGAATTGGGATTGATTTTAGGGTGTAATTCGATATTTGAAATTTCAGTATTTGACATTGGGATACTGATACCGTACTGATTTTCGCCTCTAGTTGTGGCCCTTGGAGGCTGAATGTGTCAAAAATCTAACAGCACCCCCATCCCACAGGTGAGTTTCACCAATCCGATTGATGCAATATGTTTTTCGGTTGTAAATATGTTAAATTATAACTTAATCGACCATAGAATCGAAAATTGATTATCGTGCATAGATTTTCATGCTTATTTCAAATTTCCTCTTTACATATGGTAGGAATGATGCAGTAGTTATAACATCCTCATGCTCCTGATCGTGTGCAAGCTAACTTATAACGTGATGTTTTATGTTATTTTTTTAGGGAACAATTGGCATGTCCATTGAGGGATCTGAATTAGAGAGTTATCGTATTGAACCACAGATTTGTCCAATCGTGAATTTTTAGTGTTAACATGTCTTGTCCAGTTGTTCTGTATGAATTTTCAGCAGAGGAGTTTATAATCGCATTCATTGTCTTTCATGTTGATGCATATGCTTCTATTTGTAAACCGCCTGTTAATTAGGAGTGAGTAGATATCATGTTGTCGTTTGATATTGTTGTAGGATGTTTTGTTCATGTATTTATTTGTTGGCCAAGGTGGGTTGATTTGGCAAGCTACAATAGTTTTGCAGTTGGTTTATCCAGTTGGATGTTGTATCTGTCGCTATGTTACTTCTTTAGTTATTAATGTAGGTTTACACTAGTAGAGGAAATTAAACCCAATTCAATATTTTGTATTGTAACTATTTCTCCATTAATTAGTTGCAGGACGGATAGGGTCCTCAAGTCAGGTTCGAAGTGAGTTTCGGTGGAAGAGAAGCTGGAGCATATATAAGATAATGAGTTGGACGATTAGAGATTGTTGTGTTTTTAAAATCTAGTTATTATTATGTCTAGGCCATATTTATAGTATAAACTACATAATGTTATAATGAACCTTCTCCTTGTAAGGGAAAAGTGATGTATTTATTTATGTATATGTTGTATTAACTAAGGAGGTTATTGATAGAGAAGGGAAAATCCAAATGCGTTGCAGAGAAGTTATGTACATTAGTTAGTAATTTAGTTTTGAGTATGTCCCTAATAAAGTGTTTCATTAAAATGGTTTACCTTAGTTTCACACCGACTTTAGCGTGTACTAGTTACAAATACCAATTGCTTAGGTCATATTCTGAGCGAGCAGTATTTCCGTGGTCGATATTGCTACATTATCCATTTTCACAAGTGTATATTTATGTTTTAGGGAAGCATATTTTTAGTAAGTATTTACATTGTCCATTTCCTGAACTGTTATTGTAAGTTTCCAGAAATAGTATTAGTCAGATAATTATTGAATGTGCTTCAAAAGTATTACTCTTAGAGTATTTTCTGTTCCACTTAGTACATGTGGAGGTTGACATTGTCAGAATGCACAGTCTAAATGTCAAAAGGAATTCTGTTCAAGATCATGGTGAAACTTGCTAGTGCTAGAATGCAACATTGCATGACATTCCCTTGTAGAATCTATCAGAAAGCACCAAAATGGCCCGAAGGGGAAATGTCAACCTATTCCAATCAAAACGACCCCAAAGGGGCAATGTCAACCTAGACGAATCATACCATGGTGATGTAGTGCTATTTTCAATGACAACCTTGTTTTTGAGGATATAGCTTCGTTTCTTGCTCTCTGCCTATGAATAAAGGGCTGACAACATGGTGTTGTGGTCATGCATCAAGATCCTCGCTACAATGCGGGCTCAGTGGAAGTTTCATTCGTCTTGATCTTTCCAAAATTCTTTTTCCTTGTCTGTGAAGTGTCCCTCATATTGTTCCATGAAGTTGAATCAGAACACACCGCAGTTGTGGTTATCTTGCTGTTGTGGGCAATCAAGAACTCCCCATTCAAAGCTGTCAAAACTCGCCTTTCCATTAAGTGACTTGATGAAGGTGGTCTCGTAGGTGACAACCCTCTGGCTCAGTGGTTGGCATTTGGTTTGGAAACTATTTTGCATGACATGCTTTCCAAGCACACATACTTACCTCTCTCTATGTCAATAGAGAAGTAGAAATAATGCCTATCAATATGCACAAGGAAGAAGAACTGGAGCAGGATACCAAAATTATGTTCACATTTATGTTTGGAAAGAATGAATCCAAAATAAACAAGCCAACACGAGTTTTGATAGTGGACTCATGTATGCACGTCAGTGAAGTCTGCCTCGCTCAAGGATGGGTTACATTTGAAGCGTTTCAAGATTCTCTCACAATGCTTTGCGAGAAGGGCATCGTCAAAGATGGTGCCACGTTCCAGGTTTGTCCTTGCATGATCCTGTTGACAAATACATGGTCCCTTTAATTAGTATTGTTATTACTATCAGTTGGAGGTAATGTTGATTAAGTGCAACAGTTTCCCCATGGCTACAAATGTATCAAAACAGTATCTAGTGAGCTTGTGGTTTGCTGCCATATTGTTGGAGTTCAACCATTGGGCATAGGCATTGATGAGATTAGTGCACAAATCTTTTTTCAACCTGAGATGATGCAGCTTCCACTGCATGACAGTTAACATGGCGGACTTATGCACATATACATCTCTTCAATGGCATGAGTTTGTAAGAATGGTTAGCATGTGATAAATGCAAATAAATCCGTGTACATATGAATCAAATAGGACTTCTACTAACCGTTCTTCTTCAAAGTCTGACAAACCGAACTCGACCAAAAGAATTTCGTCCTTAGTCATTTTAATCTTTGTTTTCCTTGGATACCTGTAATCCACTCGATGCCATCTTCCTTTCCTACTGTCCCCTTTGAGCTGGTAATTTTGTAGGCCTCAGTCTTGGGTTTGATATGTCTCAAGCTCAAAGATCTAAAGATCAATGGTTGGTTCTTCACCTGCAATGTAACAAATTACTAAAGGACATACTAACATTGCATTCCTATGTTCATGTCATCAACTTATTATCCTACACTACTCGGTCGGTAGTTGTTGACCATGGTTGTTCGTAGCCTTATCGAAAATGTCAAAATATTCCCCACCACCGTCCTACATATTCCGAATCAATGTAGTTATTAATCGACGAGGATACAAACACTTGAGGGTCGTAGAAATATAACATGTGTGGTGGTTTGTATCATTTCTAGTATCAACCGCATCAGAAGACTTGTCGACATTCTGCGCTACCTTCTCGTTCTTCGAGTTTCTGAGTTGGCCCTACAATTCTCTTGTCCGTTCCTCTTGAGGAGTGCCTACAATGTTGACACCATTGACATTCTCTTCCACATCGTCCTTGTCAATTACCTTTTTGGTCGGATCCCTCTTGTTCTCTTTGTTTTGGCAGTCCTTTTCTCCTTTCTGCCCCTCTTCCGTAGTGTTCACCCTTTGCTGAACATCCCCATTCATGTTGTCATTTCTGTATTGATGGCCAACATGCATTGCCAACCTTTCTTTGGCATACTGCACCCGATTCGTCCATTTCAACTCCTGCAGCTCTACCATTCGGATCATCAACGGACCTGCCATAGTCGAGTGTAACACCCAGACAAACACTGCTCATTAGTTAACACGTCATCTACACAATAAATAAAATCCAAATGGGAAAAACTGTATCCCTATTTCAAATTCTCTGCTCTAGGAGCGTTTGTAGGAGGGGTATTTTCGGTACTGAAATGTTGGCCGGGTGTAAAAGGTGGGTTTAATGAAGAACTGGGCCTCGCTTTTCGACCCACTTATTATCATCATTGAATTTCTGCGAGCACTGACCTCCTGCAGGGCACTATGGTGGTTTCGGAACTGCGCCCACCGGAGTCTTATCTTTTCATCGACGAAGTCTGATTCTTCGGCAATCGCGTTTCAATCTCCAGTGAAACGAAGGGTTTTTGGGTCGCGCTGTTGGATCTCCGGCGACTCTTACTACTCCATAGTCGCTCTCCAGTCCGATATGTTCGAATTGCATCTTAGATCGGACGTCCTCAATCAATAAAGGAAAAAGAACATGCAACTATTGAAATCGTCTTTTCCAGCTCCCCCGCCCGACAAATCGAGGTACAAAAGTGGAAGGACGAGGGGAGGAGCTTATTGTTCCCCAGCTAGTCTAGCTACTGCACAGCAAACCACCGGAACCATCCCTGAATTTGGCCTTTGCCAAATTAAAACCAATCGGCCTCGGATTGGGTGCGACTCTACCTGGTTTTAAGCCCAGCTTGTTGTCGGCAACGACAACCAAGAGGTGTTGGAGTCGGCGGCGGATTCCGAATTTTTAGGCGTCGGTGAGCAGGAGTTGAAGGAGGAGAGATAAAGGATATGCCAGAATCGTTTGGCCTCAGGGAAGTCTAGATCGGTGGCGGCTTTCATTCTCTTCTCCCCCCCCCCCCCCCCGAAACCTATTATTTGTGGAAGGAGAGCTCGGGAGAAGAGAGTCATGAGATCGGCGGAAGAAAGAAAGAAATAAATTGGGGAATACTAGAGAGTTTTGTTTCATTTCTTTTCAGTTTCAATTGACGCCAAAGGAGAGGGCAGAGAGGAGAAGTAGCGAGATAGAGGTGTGAGAGAAGAGGTAATTACTTCTTGAATTACCCAAACAGAAAAAGGGGAATTGGCGGGAACAGATAGAATGAGAGAGTTTATTTAAGTTACCTTTTGTATATGTAGTGACTTCGGTGATTATTTAGTAAAATATGGTAATATGTATAGTATTTTATTTTATATGCATATATTATATGTCTAACGCGGTGGGACTATTTAGAATATGAATTAAGTTGATTTTGGGATCATATTATTAGACTCTAATCTAATTTTTAACGGGTAAACCTCACTCTCATTCCCTAAACACAAATTCTAACATCAATCAAATTAAAAAAATAGATAAACAATTAAATAGACTATATGAAAATACATTTAGTTGTTTGATATCTAGATATATTATATTAGCATTTGCCCATATATATGGGTCAGGGTATCGTATATGCTAACATTTTCGTACACTAATTGAGTTTTGCTATATAAATTATGAACTAATCGGAGTTTGGAGCATATACTATACCCCAACTTCAAATGAGAACACCAGATAGTAATTCTCTAATCCAAACCGTAAGTTTTATATAGTCTAAAAATAATAACCAACCATATGTCCATCAAGTTTTGGTATTTAGACTAATTGAATCTTATGGTTTGAGTTAGAGAATTAGAGACTAGAGTTCACCAATGAAAGGTTGGGATATAGTATCATGCTCCAAATTTCGATTAGTTCATGATTTATTTAGCAAAACTCAATTAGTGCTTAGAACAAATGGGAAGATGATGAAAAACAGTAAGACCGTAAAGATGAGTACTAGGATGCCATTCGAGAAAACTTAAGGATTGAGGTGAGAGGAGAATACTTGTACTTTTTTTTTTATAAATAAAGTTTAAAATACAAAGTGAATCTATATAATTTTATGTATAAAATTGGTAACACATTTTTTTGAATGAGATTTTTAATTTTCTTCATGATCTAGATGTATATATTGAATTAAAAAAAGAGGTGTTGTAGTATTTTGATCTCGATGTATATATTTCTAAAACTTTATAGTATATGTATTTAATAATATTTCAAATATATCAATATATTAACATTTAATTAATGGTTTGAATATAAAACTCTCTGAAAATAGATGGTGCAGTTTTGTCAGGTTCGCACTCGGAGCCGAGTGATTAACTATAAAGACAAGATCGGTAGTGTGATTTTTGTCGGGCTTCCAATATGTAGGTGTCTAAGACCCTATACAACTGAATTGATGGCTCTCTAGGATGCAATCGAATGATGATCGTTGAAGGGTCTGACGGAGGTGGTATTCAAGGGGGAGGCAAAAGTAGTCATTGATAAGGTACGAGGTTAGGAGATACGTGATGGTAGAGGTGGAGTCATTTTCGAGGAAATTGGCAAATCATGTAGCAGTATGAACGTTTTGTTGTGCAATTCATAGGCATGCAAAACTATCGGGCAACCCATTTGGTGGCTAAAGCGACAATTTCTTTGTGTTCCTGCAAGTGTTAGTGGTTTTGATTTTCGACATTGGCTTATCTGTTGGTTGTAAACTGTGGTGTCTTCATATTCTTGGTAATACGAGTTAGGTAGGCCAAAACCATTCCGAATGGACCAAAATATTTTCATGGGCCCTTCTCTAGCCTCCAAATTCGGACAACCCATATTGGTAAAAAAATCTTCAAAATTAAATGCTCTCCCACTTCAAATTTCTTTCTCATTATACGAGTCGATAACTTCAAGTAATCCGGTCAACGGGCCGGGTAAAAGCTAGTTGTCATAATACAAGTAAGCCAACCCTTGACAGGAATTGTACAAATGCAAATTGAAACTGGAAATAATTACTTCTGCTTCAGTAGCTCTCTCCACAGACTCCATCTAATCGGTGTCGACTGCAATGGTTGCACTCGACCCATTTTTGTTGGAGGTCCTCCCAATCCACATCACTTATGTATCCTCCACTCTCATGGAACCAAAACTTTGCTTCGTATACTCATGAGTCTGTCCAATATCCACAGGTTGGCAAAATTGTTGCATCCAACCCTTCAAGCTTCACAGAGTCAAGAAAATGTACCTACCGACGATACAACATTAAGAATAACAATCAAAGCAATTCTACTATCTATAAATAAAGTTTAAAATACAAAGTGAATCTATATAATTTTATGTATAAAATTGGTAAAACATTTTTTTGAATGAGATTTTTAATTTTCTTCTTGATCTAGATGTATATATTGAATTAAAAAAGAGGTGTTGTAGTATTTTCACTATTTTGATCTCGATGTATATATTTCTAAAACTTTATAGTATATGTATTTAATAATATTTCAAATATATCAATATATTAACATTTAATTAATGGTTTGAATATAAAACTCTCTGAAAATAGATGGTGCAGTTTTGTCAGGTTCGCACTCGGAGCCGAGTGATTAACTATAAAGACAAGATGGGTAGTGTGATTTTTGTCGGACTTCCAATATGTAAGTGTCTAAGACCCTATACAACTGAATTGATGGCTCTCTAGGATGCGATCGAATGATGATCGTTGAAGGGTCTGACGGAGGTGGTATTCAAGGGGGAGGCAAAAGTAGTCATTGATAAGGTACGAGGTTAGGAGATAAAAATAAAGGGCATAAAATATACTCATCACAAATGGAAGGCCAGGTGATTAGAGAAGAGATGCGGAAGATGTCAACATACTTGATCGATGGAGCTTTTGATAACTCCAATACATCGTTGATGCATGTTTATGAGGTCTTCAAGTCGACGAACAAGACTGATCGATTTAGAAAGGAGAAAGGGGTGGAAAGCTCTGTTGTGAGAGACAAGATTGATAATGCATTATTGAATGAAGTGCATGTGGATGTTGGGGTAATAATCCCGGAAATAGCAGATATTGAAGGAAACCAAATAGATCGAATCAGTTAGAGGAGAAGGACAGAGTCAGCTATGCTGGTAAGTACTATAATGTCGAAGGGGCAAGTGTCAAAGTTGAAAGTGAAGGCTTAAGAGATTCACATGGGCCGACTGGGTCTTTCAAAGAAGACCATCTAATGGAGCTATAGGAAGTTGCAATGCATGTGCGTTGACATGGTGAAGAAGCTGATAATGGCGTTGACATGGCTAGTCCAACTAGTACCAATATTTCCAAATCAATCTAAGATGATCGTCAGTCAAGCTCTGCATTTCGGGTGTTATACAAAAGACATCGCAAGCCAGTGAGATGGACACCACATTAATACGAGCTGGAAAAGAAGGCCAAAGAGAAGCTAACGACGGAGTGCATGATGGTGGTAGAGTTTGCCATGTCTAAAGATGACGATAAATCATGAGCTTATTTACAATGTGATTTCTGTGCTAGTTTACATTACCAAATAAATACTCAAATGATTCATCAATTGATACATCCATACAAGGACATGATATTCCACAAGTCCAACATGTTAACTGTGTTGAAGTCAGAATTCCACATTGCGGGCGAATGGACAGATTGGAAGAAACATTGTTGATGCGTTTGCCCACTGCCTGAACTCGGAGACTGTGCGTAAGAATGCGAAGTTGACACAATCGTTGCAGTAATTGTTCCTAACTCCTTATACACATAAATGTTCATTATAGAATTACTTATTAAGGATGTGATATATGGATTTATCCAATCAGGCTGATGCTTTGAAAGATATGGAAGTGGGGTTATGCGACGACAAAGATGCATATGAACCGTGCAACCTTCCTTCCTCATCGTTTTTCTGCTAACCCATTTCTGTCAACTGCTGATTTTTCTGACTGTGAATATGTGAGTTAATAATGCTGCATATGCTTGGTGTGATGCTAACCGAACTGACACTTCATATCGTTGTGTGTGATGCAGTTCTTTTTCCCTATCAACGTGGACAACCATTACGTATGCTTGGTCATTGACATGAAGAAGCGTTGCTATGTTTGGTTGACAGCCTATGCAGCCACCTGTCATTCAAGAAGGAACTGCTCCCAGTCGTTGCGT